CCCTACGCCAATTTTCTGCTAAATTGGCCGTGCTCCTGTGCCTGGTGTCCTTCCGCAGGGTTTCAGACGTTCAGGCCTTTGACTCTCATGCTGTGGCCTTCGCACCAGACGGTGTCAGATTTACTATTACTAGACGCACTAAGACTAATTCTCTCTCAGTTTTTTATCCATACTTTCCCGACAGACCGTCTCTCTGTGTTGCCATGTGTAACCGTTGTTACATTGAGAACACTACCTCTCTACGTTCCTCTACTGGACCTCTGTCTCCTACATCAGTCTTCACAAACCGGTCTCTTCCCCCACGATCGCACGCTGGATAAGATGGTTGGTTACCCAAGCAAGAATTGATCAATCATTCGGTGCTCACTCTGTTAGAGGTGCGGCCGCATCCTCTGCCTTTCGTGCAGACAGCTTGCTGGCGAATATTCTATCCTCCGCAGATTGGTCAAGGGAATCTACCTTTCGAACTTTTTATTTTAAACCTACATCACACGCTGCTTGCTCCATTATACAAGAGAGTTAAAACAGCAAATATGAAGCCTCCTGCCATAAAATTAGGGATTATTCTAGTTTACAGTGAACGAATAATCTAAATTTTATTAAAGACATGAGTCGAATATTTTCCCTCCCTTCGTTCACTCTGAATCCGACCCTCAGGGTAAGTTTCCTTTTCTACTGTTATCGCATTGTACATTCTCTTGCAATTTGATTGTTGTAGGTATATGGTTTTGCTAGCCTAGTGACCTAGTCCTACATCGCACTTTATGCCATTATGATCTTTCAATCCTACCAGATAATCTGAGCTATCACTTTAAAGTGCGTACTTGTGGTTTTTTTTTCCTCTTGTCTAAGAGACCATACTTTCACAAAGTTTCTCTTCTTCTCTCCTAGTGTGAAAATATTAAGTTGATCTACTTGACAACACGTTTACATGGTTGACTTCATTACGTTACGGTTCCAGAATGGTTCGAGTTTACATGGTTGATTCTACTGCTGACCGGCACCACCAAGAAAGAGGAAGTGGGAGGAGTCTGATGGCACTATATTGTTCTACTATGTGTTATGATTGGTTTCATTTTTTACAACCTTGTTAACTACTTCTTTGTTGCTGGGAGTTACAGTAAAGAAAGTACAGCTATTCGCCTCCTGTCTTGCCATAAAATGTAGATTATTTGTTCACTGTAAACTAGAATAATCCCTAATTTACTGCCCACCTAGCTCCCCAGTGCATCCCCTATCTGACATAGCCCGTCTCCTTAGTGAAACCATAGCTCAAAACCCAAAAAGTGAACTGTTGGTCTTTGGAGATTTTAATATTAATTGGCTGAATCCTAAGAATAATAGTTCTTGCTCACTATTTAAGACTTTGCAACTAACACAATTAATCTCCTCCCCAACTCGTATAAACATTAAAAGCTATCATCATACCCTGCTCGATTGGATTCTCTCCACTTCTCCTGATAGAATCCAGGAGGCTGGTGTTCTCCCTAACAGTTTCAGTGATCACTGCTTAGTGTACTGCGTGCGCAAAATAAAGGCTACTAAATTCTTTCCCAAGGTTAAAATCAACAGGTCCTCCAAAAAAATATCTTGAATACTTGATATACAAAAAGTATCCCTTGATAGTCCCGATCTGGGTGAGTAACATATCTAAAAATCACACAGATCGGTTCAGGGGTTCGGGAGTTCCATGGAATTCTTGTTTCTGATCGACCGCACACGAGGCTCCTTCCCAGAATAGTTCCATAGATTTCAGGTTGTGCGGCCAGTCTCTTTTGGAAGCTTCAATTTACATGAAATGTCACAAACAAGTGTTTGTGGGAAAACTAGTCATGTGCTCCATGTTCGGGAGTTGGTTTTCACCGAATGCCGCCTCTTTCGGATGATTTGGAACGAACATAGGTGATCCTGGAAGTCTCAGAGGTGTTCGGGCCATTGAGTGTCCAAAAATAGTTTCATACACTCAATGACCAAACACCACTGGCCGCGTTTGTCAAAACTAGATGGCCGCCGCCACGTGTTCGTGAATACGAATGGCGGCCACCTAGTGAACCACGTCGAACATTCAGTATTGTGGTTAGAGCAAGTGTTATTAAGGTCAATTGGGGGCACACGACTGCTCTGGGTGGTCCAAGTGTTCGGTTCATTAATCGGTATATGAACAAGCTGGGGCAAATCTGTTCGGTTGGATTCGTATACCAATCCAAGCAAAGCAAACAATAATCTCCAGGAACAGGTCATCTGTTACAGTGTCATTAAGAAACATCTTAATAATCTAAAAATGAAAAACCAATCTGGACCTGATCAAATTCCAGACATGCTGTTGAAGCTCAGTGCGCCGGCAATTGCTAAACCTGTCAAAATCAATTAACGAATCCTTGGTGTCTGGATACACACCCAAACTTTGGAAGACTGCGAGAGATAGTATAGCCTATCCATAAAATCTGTGACATTGCTTTGGTTTCTAACTATCATCCAATATCATTGTTCCCAGTATTGTCAAAAATCTTAGAAAAATGCGTCCATACGCAACTATGTGAGTATTACCAACAATCAAAGTATCTGACCCCTGATCAATCAGGTTTTCTCCTGAATCCACTACAACTGACATCCAAACTGACATGGAACAAGGAGACCTCACTGGAGCCAATTCTCTTGATTTTGCAAAGGCCTTGACACAGTAGAGCACGACATTCTACTGCACAAACTAAAAAAAATCAGGTATTGGTGATTGTCCACTAAACTGATTTCGATCATATGTATCGGATCGATCACAATATGTGTCCATTTATGACAGCGACTCTTTCCCTCTCCCAGTAACGTATGGTATTCCCCAAGGTTCCATTCTCCACCCCATACTATTCTTATTATTTATAAGTGATCTGCCTAATGTCTGCAAATCCTCAAATGTACACATGTACGCAGAAGAGACAGTAATCTATGCAAGCAAATCCAATCTACCGCAACTTGAGGCTGTGCTCCAAGACTAGTTCACAGAGGTAGAAAAGTGGATCGCAAAAAAAAAACACTCTTCCTAAACACTGACAAAGCTGTCACAATGATCTTTGGAACAGTACCTAAATTACACAAATTACACAATTTCCATCTATACGTCAAAACAAAATCAAATAGCACACTGACCACAGTCCATTCTTTCAAGTACTTGGGTATTTTATTAGACTCCAATCTATATTTTGGCCCCCACACAGAAAAACTTACATCTAAACTTTATCCAAAACTAGGTGCCCTATACAGAAACAATTCCTGCTTAAGCCCTACAGTAAAGGAAAAGGTTGTACAGCAAATGCTGATGCCAATCATTGATTATAGGGATGTAGTATATGCACCTACACCACAATCCCACCTTAATAAACTCAATACATTGTATAACTCGTTCTGCCAATTTGTGCTACAATGTAATTACATGACCCACCATTGTGACATGCTAAAAGAACTAAACTGGCTGTCGTTGGAATCCAGACGCACCCTTCTTCTTTCCAGCCTTGTGTTTAAGAGCTTTTCTGGGAATCTCCCACCCTAGAGAAGCAGAATGCTCTCCGCGGCTGTTCCCATCTCCTATAACCTCCAATCCAGTACCAGCACTTTATTTAGTCTACCTCAATACAAAAAATAAGCAGCCCGTTCCTCCTTCTCCTACAGAGCACCACAATTATGGAACGACCTCCCGCACACTTTCAAATCTTCCCCAAACCTAAAGTCCTTTAAGAGATCCCTCTCTACATACCTCAAAACAGAATGCACGTGTTATGGTTGATTATATATTTCCTACCTGTTCTATGTTACATTTTGTATATATTGCTTATTAATATTGTATTGTACCCTATTGTATCAATGCAGTGTTTTGTGGACCCAGGACATACTTAAAAAGGAGAGAAATTTAAATGTATCCTTCCTGATAAAATATTTTATAAATAAATAATTTCGCTTCCATTAAAGGTATACGTTGCTCGTGTATGCTTTACACCGAAGTGCATAACTTTGCATTTTTCTACATCAAATTTCATCTGCCATTTGAGTGCCCAGTTCGCCAATCTATCTAAATCCCTCTGCAGCAAAGTAAAATCTTGCTCACATTGTATTACTTTACAGAGCTTTGTGTCATCTGCAAACACTGAAACATGACTTTCAATGCTGTCTTCAAGATCATTTATAAACATGTTAAATAGAAGGGGTCCCAGAACAGACCCCTGAGGGACACCACTTGCCACCTCTGTCCAGCTTGAAAATTTACCATTAATGACAACTCTTTGTACTCTGTTTTTAAGCCAATGTTCTACCCAAGAACAAGCATTTTCATCTAGACCGATTTCCTTGAGTTTGAACACTAATCTATTGTGTGGAACTGCATCAAATGCCTTGGCAAAATCCAAATAGATCACATCCACTGCAACACCCTGATCTATACTTCTACTTACTTCTTCGTAGAACGCAATCAAGTTAGTTTGACATGACCCGTGCTGCATAAAACCTTGTTGATGTTATACTGCTAACCATATTCTTCTCAAGGAATTCTTGATAACCTTTCAAATATTTTACCAGCCACAGAAGTTAAGCTCACAGGTCTATCATTTCCAGGCAAGGATTTTGAACCCTTTTTGAATATAGGAACCACATCTGCCTTCCTCCAATCCTCCGGAACACTTGAAAGAAATGGTTGTTCTGCCCCAGGATGCAACTCTTCGGGCAAGTAGTTATTGGATTTGACCAGGAGATCCTACATACCATTTTACATTCACATGCACTAAGAGTCTTTAAAGAGGCTCCCAAGCAGATATTATTATGGAAGTTGTTGGGAACAACCCCTAATTCCCAACCTCTAAGATGCAGAGAGTTGAGGATCTATGTTCCAATTAAGAGATAATCTGGTCTGCTCTAGTGAAGAGACGCGGGTACCCTTAGAACACTGCCAAGTATGAAATGCGTAGCCTTGGTCCCATACCTCGTTCATGTAAACATGGTGAATTAGAACAAGGATACATAGATTTTCTACTCCAAGAAACACATAGAATAAATTACCATGGTGATTCAAAGAAAAGGTTTTCTTTGTTCTTGATTTTCCTAAAACTTGCTTTAAAACACGTTTAGAATAACACGTTTAACCATTGGTATATTTCTCATTATTATTTTCGTTATTTTTATTTCTTATATTAAAGCAAACTGAACATTTGGCCAATATATACGATATTCCAGAAATCGGTAGAGTCCTGAAAAACTGCTTTGTTAATGAGAAGACTTACACGTTTCTTTTTGCACAGTTATGTATGGAAAACTACGTATTGCACAATTTGGAAATTTTACAAACACACACAAAAATAAAAAAAGCCAAGCCAAGAAGGTGTCTCAGCCGCTTTAAATACTGCCTATTTGTTGTGTTAATCTGTTAAGCGGTTTTTAAAAAGAAATTTATTGACTCATCTCATTAAATTCCAGCTTCTGACTAGATCTCAGCTACATTGATGACATCGGTAAAGTCAAGCACTCGGTACCAATCTCAGCCCCGTCAAGCTCACAGTGTGAACACACTGGTCTCACAAGTCAATGCCACATGTAAAAGTGAGAAAGAAGAAACCGGGATAGAGCCAACCGAACAGGTCTTCATTACCTCTCTGTGTGGCTGGATTGGTGCAATCACTAACGAGAAATCTCCATTATGCTAACTCGATGCATTTATTGTGGGTAGATAGAGTCCACGACTAACAGTAAGTCAATGCTGGCTTGAACGCCACATTCCAAGGGCATGAATAGGCCATTGTTTCTCTCAAAGTCCTGCCGCTAGATGTGGGACAGCTGCAGGAAAAATGCAGTAATTTTGCCATAAATTTTAAAGTTTACAGGACTAGTTACTAAAGCGAGAATTTAAAGGGAATTGCAAATTTAAGGCCAGAGTAGCCAAAATTTGACAAATTGAAAATCACTTTGAATTCTTGCTTTAGTGAATAGCCCGGTTCGTTTTTAATTCAGGATAATCCAGTGTTTAGTGAATACGCCTCATCGATGTATCTTGACTGATGTTTCAGACACTGGAGGCTGTGATGTGATCTAGGCTTTAGATATACCTAAATGGGTCAAAGCACTTGTAGTCTAACTATGTGACGGCTATAATAAAGACATAATAAAAAAGAATGGGCATCAGAATCCATTTATTGCTGTGATATTTTTATGGCCAGACTTTTGATTTTATGCATCAGCCATAAATGGTTGAAGCACACAAACCTGCTGCTTATATAACGTACACTACAACATGATCGTTCTATATCTGTGATAGGAGCCACACAACGTGATCATTAAATAACAGCTGCTTATTCACTAGCCTTGCATGACCGGCGTGTTGTCAATCTGGGAATCGTACGTTTACAATGATCTCCAATTTACACACTGGTCATAATATGGTGAAAAACTGGCGCTGGTCTTTGGTATCTAATTATTAACTAGACCATTTTACAATTCTACAAATTTCAATCTTCATCTGAAATACTCTCTAATTTCCCATGGATTACATGATAAATTTCCATTACGGTTTTACCTGTTCTTCTAAACCCCTTCCCATATACCAGCGGAGAATATGAAAGACACGCATATAATATTGTATGTCATCTTGACGGCTTGAATTGAGAAATGCTCCATTTCACATTTTACTCCCTCCACAACTGCAAAGTTACAACTTTAAAATAGTCATTAAGAACCCATGCCACATTCTCGAACAATAATAGTATAATAATTAAATAACAAAAAGCACCGTGTTAAAGATTGGAACCACTGCTTAGGGATAGAAGGAGATAATAGAGATGTAGGGTTTCAGCAAATTTAAATGTATTTAATATAGACGGTGATTTCCTTATTTTTGGAACGCATTAAAACAACACAACATGTAGTAGAAACACTGTGAAGTCATGTCAGTATGATTATGGGCTATAATACGGAAAAAAAATGTATTCGTTCCTACAGGGGAAGGAAGAAAAATCTCAAACCGTTTCATTTGTTTACATAACCACATATACAGATACACAAATATTGTATATAGCAGTATATATGTGGAATATAAGACGCCCCTTGACCTGCTTCCATTAAACACTAAAGGAGCCTATTTAATTTCAAGCAATATGTTGCACTGCCCAGCCAGCACTCATAGGGTTAAACACCAGAGGGAGCGGGACCAGGCGCTACGAGATATTGCATACTGCAGCAGCCTGGGGAACTGTTGCCAGCCCTGCTCCTGGGTAAGGGGTGCTGGGATTGTCTAAGGAGTGTTTTTGATCCGTCCAGCCCATCACCCGCTCAGGAAAAACTGCTTGTAGTATTTGTTCATTTGTTCTAGGAAGATAAAGGTGAGCACGGTGTGAGGTCCGAGCCGGGCATAGTACGGAGTGAAACCTTTCCAGAGGCTGAAAAATCCCTCGTATCGCACGACCTTCAAAAGGACATCCTGTGGGGGAAGCAGAAAGGACAAGGAGACATGATCACTACACACAATCTACATTAACCACAGTGACAGTTAAAATACGTGACGGTGCCATGTTTAGTGATTAGTGCATGGAAGGCCCCTTGTAGAGGTTATAGTGCGTGAAGTGGTTTTGGTAACTACAGTGTCCCTGTAATTCAGCCGGGTAACTTGCAGAAAAGTGACAACTGACCTTTAAGATGAAACACCCCTTTCAGCAAATTAATTAAATACATCTTGAAAAATAAATGTTAAAGAGGACGTGTTGAGCCAACAGTCAATATAATTCATTGCATGGCAGCCAAATGGAAGAATGAATGAAGCATTAAAGTCATATGGCTGATATAACTCTTTATGAAGCTGGGGTTGTTCATGCTTGGCCCTACAGCCAATATCAGATACCAAGTCTCCTTAATAAACGTTAGAAATTTGACGGGCCAAGGTTGGTCACCAACTTTATTTAGAGGGTTAAAAGCTAGTCTGCAAGCACATTGAAACACTCACCAATCCATTCTTATATTCTGGTTTCCCGTTGATCATCCTCATATTTTGTATCCTGGAAACAACCAATAGAAATGTGAGATTTGTTCAGGCATGTGCTGGCTTAGAATTCAGGCCACAAAAACATTCTAAGGACAACGCATTTATACTAGGAGATTACAATGTGATGAGATATGTATATCAGCAGAGGGAGCTGGGGACAGCCATTAATTAATGACTGGAAGAGGATATGATAATCATGTTCTCGGGGAATGTTATGTTTGTGGAGCTGGGTTTTAGTGAAAAGGATAGGAAAATAATGCCAATGGGGAACAGTACCATAACAGAGCCATGTTTTAGGGACATATAAAAATGATTATGGAATCGCATATTAAGGAGGGAAAGAGGAGACCAGAACTTATGGTTGAAGAGACATGTTTTTGGAAAGTAGCATGGACTATTCTGGCTGTACATCCTTATTTTGGGGAACAAAGTGAGAGACATATTGAAGGAATAACAGCTGTTGTGCTATGATTTAGGGAAGTGGAGGTACATTGCAGTACATTTGTGTGACATAGCCTGGAGAGATGTTGGTTATAAATTTCTATTTTTTGGGGAAAGAATAATAGCAGCATTGCTGGGAAATGAATGGTTACCGCAGCTATCAGCAAGAAACTCCATTGAAGAAGGTAGTTTGAACCAATACCGCACACAAGGAATCTTAACCGACGAAAGGTGGATGTGGAAGATGGCTTTGGGAGTAGAGAAGAAAACCACTCACCTAGTCTTTGCGATGTCGACCGGCATGGAGGCTGCAGTGGTGACCAGTCCGCTGATCATACTGGCACAGAAATGGCACAAGATGTCATCCCTAAAGTATCCTATGGACAGTAAACAAAGCAAGTCAAAGATGAAGCAGAAATGGAATCATAACCTGGCTTAACAGGAAGACAAGAGTAACTACTCCGCAAGGTTTCATGTAACAGAAATTCCATGATTGCATCTGGAAATAGCATTATGGAGGCTGTTGGCATCCCCAGATTTCCAGCATTGAAAATCCACGTAGACAGATCATACTGTGATCACACTGGGTGGTTCTGTATTCACCTTCTTCACAATGCAGCAATACTGTGGGTACAACATCTAAATGAATCTCGGCGGATATCCAAACATTACAGGGGTAGTGATGTCCCGAACGGTTCGTGAACGTTTCGCCGCGGACTCATCATTGAGTAAACTTTGACCCTGTACCTCACAGTCAGCAGACACATTCCAGCCAATCAGCAGCAGACCCTCCCTCCCAGACCCTCCCACCTCCTGGACAGCTCACTAAGAATGCAGCTTCACAATGGATGTAAAATGGATGCTGTCCAGGAGGTGGGAGGGTCTGGGAGGGAGGGTCTGCTGCTGATTGGCTGGAATGTGTCTGCTGACTGTGAGGTACAGGGTCAAAGTTTACTCAATGATGAGTCCGTGGCGAACCATTCGGGACATCACTATACAGGGGCAATGCGAGCACCATAATCATTGATGCTCCCAGTCTAAGATATTTGATGCTATCTGCCCCCGATTAATTAAAAACCTCATTGCGATATAATAGAGGAAGTTTCTATTTCCAGCTACTTCCCCATCTCTGCAGAAAATGCATTTGCAGCAACAACAAAAAAAAGAGAGTACATGTTTATACATACATACATTTTAACTGACTGTTAAAACCACTGACCGATAAGGTGAATAAAATGGATTGTATCGCTACAATGGCACATGTCAAGGGGTGAGATATATTAGCAGCAAGTGAACAGTCAGTTTTTGAATTTTATTTGTTGGAACAAGAAAAATGGACAAGCAACAAAGGTCTGAGAGACTTTGACAAGGGGGCAAATAGTGGTAATTAGACAACTAAATCAAAGCATCTCCGAAACAGCAAGTCTTGTGTTGTGTTCCCGGTATGCACTGATTGGTATCTACCAAAAGAGGTTCAAGGAAGGACAACCGGTGAACAGGTTCAGGGTCATAGGCGCTTAAGGCTCAGTGATGCAGGTATGGAGTGAAGTTTAGCCCATCTGGTCAGATCACATGGAAAAGCTACTCAAATTGGTGAAAACCTTAATGCTGGCCATTATAGGAAGCGTCAAAACACACAGTGCACTGCAGTTTGTTCCATATGGGCCTGCGCAGCTGCAAACCAGAGTACTCGTGATGATCCCTGTCCACCGCCAAAAGAATGTTCAATGGGGACGTGCGCATCAGAACTGGACCATGGGGCAATAGAAGGTTGCCTAGTCTGATGCATCACGTTTTAGATCGGGTGGATGGGCAGGTGTGTGTCCTGCTGCCATCTCTTCTCCAAATAAATAACGTATGCCCGGGTGCACGTTATTTACCTGGAGAAGAGATGACAGTAGGGTGTACTGTAATAAGAAGGCAGTGATATGCACAATATTAGGCAGGTAGTTTTAATTTTATGGCTGATCAGTACATGTATACATAAATGAATCACCATGTATGATACGGGAATGTAAAACTGTGCACACACGGTTCTAAAGGACTTCATATACTAGGTTTTCTAAAAGGTAACTAACCTGAGTCCAACAGGAACTGTTTTGATTGGGAGTAGGATGCCAGCTGAGCTGCATTAACAACCACTGCACGGGCCATCGTAGGGACACAGCCCTAAGAAGAGAAAACAAGGAAAATATTCAGCTTCATCTGCCAACACATCTTTCTGTAGTATTGTCTGTTACAGCACACATCTAACACACATTACTACACCATGACATAAGTATACAGTGGAGACAGCAGCAGAGTCAGCTACACACACACACACGCACGCTATGACATGTATGTACAGCACAGACAGGGACAGTCTCCCCCTCACTCACTCTTATAAACCATGACATGTATGTACAGCACAGACAGGGACAGTCTCCCCCTCACAGCACAGGTATAAAGCAGAGAAGCAGCAATGCCAGCCGCGTATACACAAACTGGTAGAGCTCAAACAACGGCAGTGCTAGCCTGCCTCACGCACCCTCCATAACGTGGTTACTCCTTCTTCTCTGAAAATTCTAAGTAGGGCATTGAACACATTGCTGTACCCTCGCCTCTGATCAACAGGTAACCTGGTGGAGAAAAAAAAAAAACAGTGAGTATGAAAAACATATAGAGTGAGTGCTCTGCTTTTATTGGTGGAGGTTTGTGTGCATTTTATGTAAAACATATATAAAAAGACACCCCACTGTCCAAATAAAATAAATACGTTTAAAGACACTGTTTAGTAGATATACCCCCAATTAAAACATGTCTCTGTTTACATGTGCATTTTATTTGGGGTTATATCTATAAATAAAAAAAAATAAAAATAAAAAATAAAAAAGCTTCTAAAAGCTGGAGATCCCTCGTCTCCAACCTTTACAAGCCCTCCCCTTCTAGCCCCACCCAGACTTTCTGTGTCTGTCCAATCACAGACTTCACAAAGCAGCTCAATGAGAAGTCTTTACAAATCAGATTCTCTGCACAACTGCTGCCCCTTGAGTGCAGCTCATCTGAGCTAAACAACCAGGAAGCAACAGAGATTTTCAGCAAGGTAAAGTACTTTAGGTGTGTGGAATGTATAAAGAAAACATTATAGGTGGATTCAATAACAGTAAACTTTGGGGAATAAAAACCAAACTGCACAATTCAGGCTAAAATAGTGAAGCTCTTACTACAGCTCAGATGGAGATTTGTATTGTATCTATATTAGCCTAAACATTGCAATATGGTTTTCATTCACTACAATTCATTCTTTAGTGAATAAGCCATAAAGAGTGCTATCTTGCTCCAGCTAAAAGATCACAGTTACCACATCGCGCCACAATTTACCTTCCATCAGCCGTCATTCGGATGAGAGCAACTTCAGCTGGCGTCCCTACAAACGCTCCAGTGGCACCGGCTGTCATTCCAATAGCTGCCTTCATTAGGAAATTGGGGGGTGTTCCATCTGCCTTTGTCAGCTTCTCAAATAATATTGTGTAAATACCCAGACGCGTGGTGGTGTATGTAGCCTGGCGAAGCAGCCCTGCAGATAACCTATAAAACCAGTCAAAGGAGGATAGGAGTTTAGCTTGAGCATATATATACCTTCCCATCTGTGGTTAAAGGGGTCTCTCAACCCCAGCAGGGTGACCCAGTGACAGACAGAAGGAGCTATGAGTCTGTCCCTCCCCCTGCAGGGTGACACAGTGACAGACAGAAGGAGCTATGAGTCTGTCCCTCCCCCTGCAGGGTGACACAGTGACACAGACAGAAGGAACTATGAGTCTGTCCCTCCCCCTGCAGGGTGACACGGTGACACAGACAGAAGGAGCTATGAGTCTGTCCCTCCCCCTGCAGGGTGACACGGTGACACAGACAGAAGGAACTATGAGTCTGTCCCTCCCCCTGCAGGGTGACACAGTGACACAGACAGAAGGAGCTATGAGTCTGTCCCTCCCCCTGCAGGGTGACACAGTGACACAGACAGAAGGAGCTATGAGTCTGTCCCTCCCCCTGCAGGGTGACACAGTGACACAGACAGAAGGAGCTATGAGTCTGTCCCTCCCCTGCAGGGTGACACGGTGACACAGACAGAAGGAGCTATGAGTCTGTCCCTCCCCCTGCAGGGTGACACAGTGACACAGACAGAAGGAGCTATGAGTCTGTCCCTCCCCTGCAGGGTGACACAGTGAGACAGACAGAAGGAGCTAAGAGTCTGTCCCTTCCTGCAGGGTGACACAGTGAGACAGACAGAAGGGGCTATGAGTCTGTCCCTCCCCTGCAGGGTGACACAGTGACACAGACAGAAGGAGCTATGAGACAGAAGGAGCTATGGTCTGTCCCTCCCCTGCAGGGTGACACAGACAGAAGGAGCTAGAGTCTGTCCCTCCCCCTGCAGGGTGACACAGACAGAAGGAGCTATGAGTCTGTCCCTCCCCCTGCAGGGTGACACGGTGACACAGACAGAAGGAGCTATGAGTCTGTCCCTCCCCCTGCAGGGTGACACAGTGACACAGACAGAAGGAGCTATGAGTCTGTCCCTCCCCGTGCAGGGTGACACAGTGATGCAGACAGAAGGAGCTATGAGTCTGTCCCTCCCCCTGCAGGGTGACACGGTGACACAGACAGAAGGAGCTATGAGTCTGTCCCTCCCCCTACAGGGTGACACAGTAACACAGACAGAAGGAGCTATGAGTCTGTCCCTCCCCCTGCAGGGTGATACATTGACAGACAGAAGGAGCTATGAGTCTGTCCCTCCCCCTGCAGGGTGACACTGTGACACAGACAGAAGGAGCTATGAGTCTGTCCCTCCCCCTACAGGGTGACACAGTAACACAGACAGAAGGAGCTATGAGTCCGTCCCTCCCCCTGCAGGGTGACACAGTGACACAGACAGAAGGAGCTATGAGTCTGTCCCTCCCCCTGCAGGGTGACACAGTAACACAGACAGAAGGAGCTATGAGTCTGTCCCTCCCCCTGCAGGGTGACACAGTGACACAGACAGAAGGAGCTATGAGTCTGTCCCTCCCCGTGCAGGGTGACACAGTGATGCAGACAGAAGGAGCTATGAGTCCGTCCCTCCCCCTGCAGGGTGACACGGTGACACAGACAGAAGGAGCTATGAGTCTGTCCCTCCCCCTGCAGGGTGACAGTGACAGACAGAATGAGCTATGAGTCTGTCCCTCCCCCTGCAGGGTGACACAGTAACACAGACAGAAGGAACTATGAGTGTGACACAGGGTCGCAGAATGAGTGTATGGGGTAACAGGTTACTTATACATATAGGATGCATTTTCTCACCCTGTGTAGATGCCGCGCAGACCCTCATTTCTCAGAATGCTGCCAACAGCATGGAAACTGGTTTTATATTCCTTAGTCTTCGCTCCTTCTCCACTGAGTTGCATTCGATTCTTCACCAAATCAAGGGGCTGAACGAAGACCGTGGCTCCCATTCTGGGAACAGAACAGACACACATGTAACTTGATAACCCTTGAAAAATGTAAAATAACTGGCTCCAAAACAGACAAATGATTTAAAATGTAGGCATGTCCTTTTAGTTCGGCTCCTCCCTAGTGGTGCTTGCATGTCCTTCTAGTTAGGCCTCTTCCCTGCTGTGCTACTAGTGAGGCCCCTCCCCTGCTGTGCTACTAGCGAGGCCCCTCCCCTGCTGTGCTACTAGCGAGGCCCCTCCCCTGCTGTGCTACTAGCGAGGCCCCTCCCCTGCTGTTCAATTAGTAAGGCTTCACCCCAGTGGTGCTGGTATGTCCTTCTAGTTAGGCATCTCCCCTGCTGTGCTGGTATTTACTATTGGTTGGGTTACTCCCCTGCAGTAAAATAAACAAAAATTAGACGGCAAATTGTGTTATCAAAGAACTTCAAATTACAAACTGCACACAATTCTGTATAATTAAAAACTCCAAAAAGTAATCAAAATTGAGTTGTGCTCTTAAATGTGGAGCTGCTTTATACTCCTAGTCAGGTACTTCCCCTGCAGTACTGATCAAAGGATCACTATAGGGTCAGGAACACAAACGTGTATTCCTGACCCTATAGTGTTAAAACCACCATCTAGCCCCCTGGGCCCCTCATGCTTACCTAAATATAGAACTCTTACTGTATTCAAGCCTGACCTGTAACTCTGCATGCTGTTTGCCTCAGAAAAAAACAAGCAGTCTGCTGACATCATCAAAAGTGGTAGCCTGATCCAATCACAATGCTTCCCCATAGGATTGGCTGAGACTGACAAAGATGCAGATCAGGGGCAGAGCCAGCATGATTCAGCCCTGGCCAATCAGCATCTCCTTATAGAGGTGAATTGAATCAATGAATCTCTATGAGGAAAGTTCAGTGTCTGCATGCAGAGGGAGGAGACACTGAATGTTTGGATGCATTTTAGGCAGCCATGACCCAGGAATAGCATTAATCAGCACTGCAAGGGAAGTACCTAACTGATAGCATTTATGAGTTAGGCACTTCCCTTGCAGTGCTGATTGATGTTATCAGTTAGGCACTTCCCCTGCAGTGCTGATTAATGTTATCAGTTAGGCACTTCCCTTGCAGTGCTGATTAATGTTATCAGTTAGGCACTTCCCCTGCAGTGCTGATTAATGTTATCAGTTAGGCACTTCCCCTGCAGTGCTGATTAATGTTATCAGTTAGGCACTTCCCCTGCAGTGCTGATTAATGTTATCAGTTAGGCACTTCCCCTGCAGTGCTGATTAATGTTATCAGTTAGGCACTTCCTCTGCAGTGCTGATTAATGTTATCAGTTAGGCACTTCCCTTGCAGTGCTGATTAATGTTATCAGTTAGGCACTTCCCTTGCAGTGCTGATTAATGTTATCAGTTAGGCACTTCCCTTGCAGTGCTGATTAATGTTATCAGTTAGGCACTTCCCTTGCAGTGCTGATTAATGTTATCAGTTAGGCACTTCCCCTGCAGTGCTGATTAATGTTATCAGTTAGGCACTTCCTCTGCAGTGCTGATTGATCTTTTCAGTTAGGCACTTCCCTTGCAGTGCTGATTAATGTTATCAGTTAGGCACTTCCCTTGCAGTGCTGATGTTATCAGTTAGGCACTTCCCCTGCAGTGCTGATTAATGTTATCAGTTAGGAACTTCCCTTGCAGTGCTGATTAATGTTATCAGTTAGGCACTTCCCCTGCAGTGCTGATTAATGTTATCAGTTAGGCACTTCCCTTGCAGTGCTGATTGATCTTTTCAGTTAGGCACTTCCCTTGCAGTGCTGATTAATGTTATCAGTTAGGCACTTCCCTTGCAGTGCTGATTAATGTTATCAGTTAGGCACTTCCTCTGCAGTGCTGATTAATGTTATCAGTTAGGCACTTCCTCTGCAGTGCTGATTAATGTTATCAGTTAGGCACTTCCCCTGCACTTCCTAATATCTTTTTATTCAGATTTGAAGAAAAGGAGGATTACAATAAAGTCCCCTCACATGCCATTCAATGTTCTGCATTCATAACTATCCTGTAAGGTGACTGGCGGTTGAAGAGCAGAGGAACCCTCCTCCATGTAATTCCTCCCCTCTGACTGACAGCAGATTTGCTCTGTAATTCTAGAAAAGTTCTTATCACACATCATACTACACAAGTGAAACACAGGGGCGGAGTGCCAGCCCTCACTCCACTCACATGCCAATACTCTGATAATGAAGCCAGTCTGACGGCATCACCTATGAGAAATGCGTATGTGCTTACCAGACAGGATAACCAGATAAGAGGTGGGCAGTAGGTAGGCGTTACTACTGTTAGACCATCCACTAAAGTGGGGAATAACAGCCCTGATAGAGCCTGAGAGGACTGAAGAATTGATCTAATAACTAATATTTCAATGTGTCAGTTATATTTACAATAAATTATACATTATTTGTGGAGAAGGACTAATTAACCACAAATTGAACCGGTCAGGACTTTATTCTCTGTTTGAAACAAACAGCTTTACGTTCAGCTGGCTGAACCAGTATATCAGCTAATGAGCCCTGCTATTAGCATTTGCTATAGTGACGAGCTGCCTACATACTGTACATGATCATTTAAAACGTCACACGTGCAGCATATACCACAAAGCACAATCAGATATTCTCACAAACTGTAAATGCAAGATCGGTGACGCATGGCAGGCGAATCGACCTGAAGCTGCTATATTTTTGTGTCCAATTCATACATTTTAAATAAATGTTGTTCCCAGAATTCAGTTTGCTGCAAATGTGTGATGTTTATTATTAGACACGAAAATAGCCAGACGGATTACCAACTTAATCACCCACGAGAATATACAGCGCGTCATGACATCTACAGATTAAGGAGCAAGACCCCAATGGATCTACACTCATTCTGTAACAAAGTTCTAGTCTTTTAACTACAATGATCTAACCGTCATCTTGTAAGAACATACCAGCTAATCTCCCCGCAACGCTACAGCTAAATAAACGACCTGCTTCCTTCAAAGCCAGATCATCTTATTTATAGCTACACCAGCACCCAAATATAACCTGCCCTATAGTCCTCCAACACTGGAAGAGCCGGCCTGACTTTTAGCCAGGCACCAAACAAAATACCCGGTTGGCCAAAACAACAGCTACACTGACTGGACAATAAAATATTCAGCAAACACTAGCTGAAAAAGGGAATAGTGTCTACAAAGAATTATCCTTTAAATGACCGAAGGTGCAAAATGTCATGTCCTACAGAGAGGCCAAAGAGTTACGCCATGGTACACTCATCGAGGGTGGATTTTTCACTCGTCAATGGCAACTTTGAGCCCTGGTTAGTGTCTATTATTCCACACTGTTTATGGTCATCTCAATGTCACTCCTGTAAAGCGTGTGTTGGAATTTGTGCCACGACAATAGACAATGTGTTAACTGCCCTCTCTTGTTTATAGTGTAAATCCCTATTTCTGTAATAACAAGCGAATCAATCAGACTGTCACTACAGAGCACCACAACCGTGGAACAAACAGCCAGAGCACGTCCGATACATTGTCAGCGTGAAACCTCTGAGCCTGCAATCCACAATCTGTATACTGCGAATGTTTAACTAGTCATTTTGTATGTTTTCAAAATGTAACCACTCAACCGTAGTATCTAGGGATCAGGAATCTCTTCACTAAACTGGCATTGTGAAAAACTAACTAGGGAAATGGAAATTAATATAAAAAACAAGAAATAAGCCAGCTATCGAAAAACGAACTGATTTAGAATTTTCCAAACTTTTCCATTTTGGCAGAATATGTGCGACTTCATGTGTCAGCCCTCCACAATTCTCAATCTAACGAGTGAGCTAATTATGGGAGATTTATCAAGGTCTAATGAAAAAAAAGTGATGCAACGTCCCAATGTTAGAGCAATCACCATGGAAACCAAAGAAATCATTGATTTCATTGGCTAATAACCCCACTCTGACTCTGTGATACAGTGTTTCGCACTTCTAATTGCTCAATATAATACGAGGTGTAACACAATATGATATGAGCTACAGCAGACTCAATAGCACAGTTTAAATCTTAAACCAATTGGCTGTAAAGTTTTACCGTTTTATTACCAACTTGTGACTGTAATTTCATTGTATTTTAAAAACACACAGCCTGTATAACACGCTTATTCCCTCATGTAATAAGACTATACTAGATAAATTACATAAACCCACTGGGAAATACAATATCCAATCCTAATCTACATGTGTTTGATATAAATTATCCCTCAGTGTAAGATTGGGAGTGATAGCTACATAGCATCCAGCTATATACACCCAATCATCTGCGTCCATTGAATTAGATATCTGTGTAAATATTACAGCACGATATTATGACCCCCACTGACACATTATGCTATATATACTATATTTTATAAACCATAGTCCATGGTACAGGCAGCCATTAATTACCAGGATTACTCTGTAAGGCTAATGTACATCCCAATCGCTATATGTGAGCTGTATGACTGGCAAGGATACGCCATGGTAGAGGTAGGTACCAAGCACGCATTATTAGGATTAGCCCATGGTAGAGGTAGGTACCAGGCACGCATTATTAGGATTAGCCCATGGTAGAGGTAGGTACCAGGCATGCATTATTAGGATTAGCCCATGGTAGAGGTAGGTACCAGGCATGTATTATTAGGATTACCCCATGGTAGAGGTAGGTACCAGGCACGCATTATTAGGATTACCCCATGGTAGAGGTAGGTACCAGGCACGCATTATTAGGATTACCCCATGGTAGAGGTAGGTACCAGGCATGCATTATTAGGATTATCCCATGGTAGAGGTAGGTACCAGGCATGCATTATTAGGATTAGCCCATGGTAGAGGTAGGTACTAGGCATGCATTATTAGGATTATCCCATGGTAGAGGTAGGTACCAGGCACGCATTATTAGGATTACCCCATGGTAGAGGTAGGTACCAGGCATGCATTATTAGGATTATCCCATGGTAGAGGTAGGTACCAGGCATGCATTATTAGGATTATCCCATGGTAGAGGTAGGTACCAGGCATGCATTATTAGGATTATCCCATGGTAGAGGTAGGTACCAGGCACGCATTATTAGGATTACCCCATGGTAGAGGTAGGTACCAGGCATGCATTATTAGGATTAGCCCAGGGTAGAGGTAGGTACCAGGCACGCATTATTAGTATTATCCCATGGTAGAGGTAGGTACCAGGCATGCATTATTAGGATTAGCCCAGGGTAGAGGTAGGTACCAGGCACGCATTATTAGGATTATCCCATGGTAGAGGTAGGTACCAGGCATGCATTATTAGGATTATCCCATGGTAGAGGTAGGTACCAGGCATGCATTATTAGGATTATCCCATGGTAGAGGTAAGTACCAGGCATGCATTATTAGGATTATCCCATGGTAGAGTTAGTTACCAGGCAT